CTCTTCTGCAGAAAGAGCAGTTGTGAAAGCAAAGAGGCAAAGATGTGCAGGAGAAAAAAAAGGAGTGATACTGCTTGGTTTTTGGAGAGTCATGGAGAAGACAACTGTGGTGGAAATCAGCATGAAAAACTTGGGTGGGTGATTTGCTTGTTTGTCTCCCTGAAGCATGGATCTGAGTATAGCAGGATTGGTTCAGAATTCGTTTTGCATATTTGAGGTGGTTTTGCTTCAGCTCCTGCTTCTTTCTGAGGAGTTAAACTGTAACCTGTTATCAGTCAAGTAGGATTTGGAAATTGCTCAGTCAGTTTTTGGGGAGACAGCAGTGCTTATAGGAGGTCTCAAGAGGAGGACATTCACTTTTAGATGGAGTATGGAGACTGAAAAGCTTAGGAAGCGTATTTGGAAAGGCCAGAGAAATGGAGTGTGATCTGAAACCTGCCATGAGAAAAGGGAAAATGTATGACCAAGAATTGGACTGAATCTTCTGAAAGTCATCCATAAGTGAGATTGTGTTAATGAGAGTTTTATGACATAAAAGTTGGATCCAAAGGATCAGGTTAATAATTCTTTTTCTTCTTCCTGAAATTGTACCCAGAGGGAAATTTTGGCCTTTTCATTTTAAAAGGAAATTCCAAAGTTTTGGACTTGCAAACAGAATAGAGTTTCCAAGCACTGGGGAGCTGTAGGAAGTTGTCTTTTCTCTAAGAGTTTATGTAAGTGGTACTATTGGTTGATATATATTCACAGCCTCAGGCAAGTGTAGGCTTGCTGTGTCTATATTGCCTATCAATTTTGTTTTAGTGGTAGCTGCTAGTTCACATGCTTCTGCATATATAAATAATCAACAGTAGTGATCTGTCCTACAATAAAAAAAATCACAGCTACTTCCTTATGTAGTCTTCCTGAGAATACACTGTGCATCTTCTAACTTCTTGCTGGTGTTTTCTCATGCATTTCTTCTTCAGGAATCTACTTGCTGGCAAAAACTTTGATCTTGTTGGTGGCTTGGTTACATACTGTGTTCCCCTGAAGACATGTGGGTGGTGATTATTCGTTGTGTTGGGTTTATTTTTTTGGGTTTTTTTTTAATTGTGTCTGTGTTCTAAATAGGCTTTCATGTATATGGGAGAAGGTCCGTCTGTTCTCTGAGTTCAAGTATGCCTCTGAATATAGTTCTGTGCTTTGCATTAATCTCAAATTTTTTTTAGCAGCAATATTATCCTCCTGTCAGGTGAAGTATCTTCTAAGGTGTCTAGCCAGGCTTGCAAATTAATTGATATTGCTAAGAATAGTAAGTCTTTGTCTCTCTGCATGTATTTTATTGTCTTTCCAGTTTGAAACTCTAGTACCTGGGTTGACTTTGTTATTGTGAGTTTGCGTAATTTTTTTTGTTTGTTTCAATTTATATTGTAGAAATACATAATGGAATGGAAACTCTTCCATTCTGCTAAAATTTCTATAATCTGCAGTTGTGTAAGAAAGATATAATTTCTGTCCCAAAGATAGGAGTTTAAATTTTCATGTAGATTGTGGCAAAACCAACAAGAATATCACGAAACTTTCAGACTGACAAGAGGTTCCCAAACCCTTCATTTTGGCTACAAACCCTTTGAAATCTCTTTTTCTTCCTCTACCCTTTATAGTGTCAAGCAAACCTTTGCAATCGCACTTCAACCCCTCTTTTTACTGGCTGGATTTTCTGTAATCATGTGTTGACCAGTGCTTGCTTAAAAAAAAGAAAAAAAAAAAAAGTCATTTGTTTGTAGTTCCTTTTATTTTTATCTGTGCATATTTGTGTGTGTATCTGGACATATTTGGTTCAAATTTTATTTAGTTGGATCTATATATGTGTATATATATACACACAATCATACATATGTACATTGAGTAATTTTACAGTATTAGGGCTTGAAACTGTTGCTGGCTTTCTGGTTTTATTGACAGCAGTGGCAATAAAAATGCAAGAAAATAGCAGAACTATGAAATCTTCAAGGTAAACTCTAAATGCCTGAGTCTGATGTGATTAGAAGAAAGTTGTTTCTATTAGAGTAAAAGGCAACAGATATTCTTCACTGCTGTCATATGAATGTATCAGAAAGGCTGGATGATGTGCTGGCTATTAAAGATCATTTCATAGTAGTCAAGACCAGGAAATGACAATGTCAACTTTGAAACAAAAAATCACTTTCTAAAATAGTGACATGGGTGAAAATATCCAGTGACTGCAAGACTATCGTAAACCCTTCTCCAGATGTTTGCATCAAAGTACACTGGAATTGTAACATAGCTCAGAATATTTTCATATGGGGAAATTAATGTTTGTCTATATTTTTCATTTTTATTTTGCCACCACATGTGGAAACCTTCAGTTAGATATTTGTGTAGTCATGCTGACTGTAGGGTGGGGCATGGTTAGCTAGTAAGCTTGGGTGTGTAAGGAAACATCTTTGTTTTTATCCGTTCAAATTGTCTAGATAATGGAATTAAATATGCAACAAGCGTGATTTATTTTGCCAACTATTCTGTTCTGCATGACAAAGCTGCAGTACCACCAAGGAACAGAAGCTCATCTCCTGGTTCCTCAGAGTGGGGGGAGCAAATCAATAGTGAACATTGAAAAATCCTAGTGGGATGCAATAGAGTGCTATTTATGAACGTACATATTTGTCGATGAAATATATAGAAAGATACTTGTCTTGGGAAGGGGGGATTTGGAACATACTTACTAGGATCTAATTTCTCTAAGTCTTTGTCTCAGACTGATTTGTTTTAAGCAGCTCCCTGAAGTATGTACACTCTTCTGCATACCTGTTTTGTTGAAAGTACACAGACCTGGCACCATTGTGTTTGCCAGGCGTTCTCTTATCTCCTGCAAGCATTCAAACAAAAGTGTTCTATTGCTCCCTGAGTAATCAGTGGGTGATCTAAACACTGAGCAAAAGTCAGAGCAGGGACTTCTCTCATATTTCTTAGTGCAGGAGTAGACGGTCTCTGGAAGGAAGGGGAGAAGGGTGGAGCAGGGAGAAGGCAGCCACAACTCAAAATAAATAGTTGAAGCATTGTGAGTGTCCATATATGAAAACATTGCTTAAGCGTAAGAATGCTGAAATGTAGGGATCACACAAACCAAGTTTCATAATATATCCTGTTTTTAATAAAGCTGTTTGTATACAGGCTTTGACGCATGTGTTTTCTCAAAGTAGAGCTCTCAAACCAATATAGACTCAATTTCTACTTGCATGTTAATTTTAGTCTCTAGTTGTACAAGGCAAATTTAGCATGTTTTTAAGCATGCAGATAGTCCTACTGAGCAACAGGGAATATTAAATATAACATATACTACAGTACCTTGTTGAGAGGGCATCTTTAAGTCTCTGTTGCAACAATTATTACATAAGGGGAAGGGGGGGAAAGGAGTTTTAAAATATCCCAAATAATTAGTAGCAGATTGTTGCATGTGCCCCCTCCCCTAAAACAAAACCAAACCCATGTTGCTTCCTGAACTGTTAACTCTTACATTGCCGTTATCTTTCAGCTTCTCTTGCTTCTGGTAAGGGAAAAATAGGGAAAAAAAAAATTTTTAATATTATTTCTGAAAATTAAATAATTTTCTAATTATTGTTTTGTTTCAGTCCTAATAGTTAGCTTTGTGCCCTGCTTAGAGATACAGTGTAGCCTGCTTAGTTTAAACAAGATCAACACTTCTTTCTTTATAATTTTCTTATACTGTAAGTAAAACTATGTCTCAGGCCTGGAAAGGGGATACATGATGAGTCCCAGACTCAGAGTGGTATCTCTAAATGCTTCAGAGCAATCAGAAACACATGAGCTTGAATTATACTGTCTGTAGTCTTTAGGTGTATACACAGAATTTCTCTGTGACAGTTAAGGACATGGATTTATAAGACATGAAGTAACCTAGTACTGGGTTTCTATCACTGATCAATGTTGCAATTTCTAGATTAATCTTGCCCTGGGGGATTATTCTACTTATTGTACAAGTGCACGCACACACACATGCAGAGCTCATTACAAAAAAAGGGTACAAACTAATGAAGTGATAAATAGGAAAAAGACTGGTATAGTGTAATGAAAATTATTCATTGCCATCACATATGTTCTAATGTAATATTCTAAATTTCTTCCAAGATTTAAAAACTGGATGAGGAACATTGGATTTATCTGGCTTTTAAATGGTCAATGTGCTTGTAAAAAATATGTAGGAGGAAGACTGAAAAGTACTATTTTAAAAACAATTCTTTGTATTAGGTGAGAATAATTCTCCACTAGTTTGCACAAACTTTTCTTATGCCTCATGAAATGTTCCTAATGCAAGTGGGGAGTCAGGGTTGTGTTCCTAAAAATATGCCCCTCTTAATGTTTCTTTTTTTTGTCCAGGTTAGGTAGATGGAAATCCCTCTCTCTGAGCTGTTGAACTGGCTTTTTGACACTTAAAAAATAGTTATGTGTGTGGCGCCAGAATTACTTGGGAACAGGAAAGGCATATTTTGTATCTGTACTAAACGTGTCGGCTTAGTGCATAGAAGACTTGACCTTTGTCAGGTGTTTTGAAGTTAACTGGCTGACTTATGGATTAATCAGTTTGACTGAAGCCAACCAGTGACAGGAATGAGCTTTGTTGTGTGAGTGTGTGTGTGTGGCTGTGGTGCAGATTTACAAATTTTTATAATGCTTTCAGTCGGACCGTGAAAGTCTGTGATGTAAAGCTTATCTCTGATCTCTGGCTATGGCCATACTCATGGGATTGTATTTGGGGGGAGGGAGATGAATTCTTTAGCACTTGACACCTGGTTCTACCAGGTTTCTAGCCCATAGTCTTAGAAATGGCACTATTCAGGGCATTAATAAAGTTAAAACCCTTAAGCTATATGACCAGTAGGTCATAAAAACTATTGCTGGGTATTGTGCTTAGTCTTTCTTTCGCAAACGGATTATCATGCTGACAACTAATTCTTTTTTTTCTTTTGTCTTTTTTATAGCTGTCGTGAACTTGGACAACTCTGTGGTTGACCTAGAGACCCTTCAAGCCCTGTATGAGAATGTGAGTAATCAGAGGAAGTCCATATAAAGTAGGAATACTGTAGGTCCATGCAAAGGTATTTTTGGTTTGCATCAGTAGTGTTCAGAAAGTTTGTAGAACATGTCCTGTTTTGAAGTGACTTTATTTTCCCCAAAGCAATGAAAATAATAAGCATTTAAATTGTATTAATTGCCATTGTGTGTTTTATGTAGTGCATACATTTTTATTTAAGTAACATAAGCAACTTCTAAATGACTAAACAGAAATTGATTTTGCTCCTTTTTTTTTCCTCTTGGGTGGGGCAGTCTTTGATCAATAGGTATCAGACCTTGCACTCCAGGTCTTTGGCTTCACTTCATAACTTCATTAATATAACAATGGTGTTCAATTAAAAAAAGTTTTAATAACAGCAATAATTCCATTTGTGGAACTGTAGTTTTTCATTATTATTATTTCATGGATTCCTCCAAAATAATTTTAACTCTTTGAAAGGAAAAGTTTTGTTCTATTTTAATACAACAAAAACCAGTATAAACTGCCAGGGGCTTCATAAATGTGATACTAATCATCAGACTGTCTTTGACCACCTGATCCAAAATCAGGGATTCAGAATATATTCAGGCATGTTCTAAAACTTTACAAAGCCAGCCACATACAAAATTCAAAAAAGTGGATCTCAGCAGCACATTTCTGCCTTCAGCTGAGGCCAGTGAGCATTACCACCTTCTCCAAGCATGTTGTCTGAATACATGGAGATCTGGCTTGGCAGCTCTGGAAAGAGGAAAGAGGCTTTCAGTTTACCCTCCAAAGAACTTGAAAATATGAAACACGAAGCTGTAAGCCACAGAATGACATTGAAGGCCAGTGTATGCTATTGTATTGGATTTTTTATTTCCCTCACATTATAGTTTTAATAATATGTTAATTACTTTTACATCTTTCAGATTTTTTGTTTTTAGACTCTAGCTTTCTATGGCCTACTTTACAATGATTTGTAGATTTATTAAATTTCTCATAAATAATCCACTTTGGGGCCTGAAAAAAGAGATAGTAAGCTCTCCTCCACTTTAGAAAAATCAAAAAGCTAAACAAAATGAAAAATAAAAATCTGAGGACAACTAGGAAGTACTTCTACTCTTATTTCATCCCTGAAGAATTAACTCACTCAACATCTCTCAGGAAGATAATGGTCAGATGGGAAACCTATTCTAACTACCCCCAAATCTTTATATTTTAAACATGTCTCATCCTTATGCCACTGTATTTATGTTATGTTATTTTCATTTTACATTATTTTTAAACTGCTCCCTTATACCGCACAGCTATGTCCCATTTCTTACATTCTTTAGTATGTAAAAGGTTGAAGTAATTTTATATATTACATATGAGTGATTGTGAATAGATACTGCCCTCGTGACCAGTTTTTGCATACTTACCTCTTTTATACTGCATAAGAATTTTTTTTTTTTTTTAAATAGTGCTATGTGGCTAATGTACTGATAGGATACTTTTCAAATGCTTTCTTAATGTTGTCTCTAATATGCTTCAGAGTTTCAGTTTAATGGATTACCTGCAAATTTGCAGTTTGTTGAAATAATCAAATGCCATTGTGTTCCTTTTGTCATTACCTTTACTAATTACAGAAAAAATCTAGGAGATATTGTCCTAATCGAAGAAAATATCATATGTTAATCTCAGGCAAGACTCAAAAAGTTGGAATGACTACAATGCATTGCTTTGCTTTGAATAGAGGACAGATCAGCCCAACTTTATCACTATAATTGCTTGGGCACAAGCCAAAAAAAAAAAAACCTAACAAAACAACTAAAAAACACTCTTCCTCCCCTCACCCCCCCAGTTTGTTTAGAGAACTTCATAAGGGGAACTGAATTTTAATCTTGGATCCTCAGTTTGATAAATCTGTGTCTTGAAAGAAGCATTTTTTTAAATTGAATTTTATTTTCTGTTTTTACTTTCAGTCTTTGGTCAAAGCACATCAGACCTTGCATTTGCTTCACTAGGTAGCTTCATTAATTATAACAATATTTTTCAATAACAAAGTGGGCAGTATCAGAGAGCCTGACATGTTTGACTCCTCCCTTATTTCTCAGCCTCATCCTGTGTTGTAAGTGGGGATAACGTTGCATCATTCAGTTACTTTGTAGCCATTAACTTGTTAGTTTTTAGGGTTTATTTATTGGATTGGGATTTTTTGCTGGATATTTAAATTCCACTGTACTAGTTTTCAGCCTTTCTATTTGATCTCTATGCGACATATGGGAGCATTTGTTTTACAGTCTTCCCTCAGAATGTAATCACTTTTCCTGATTGCGTATGTCTGGCATGGTGCTTTCCCCTCTTAAATGTGAATGAAATTTGGGCAGTCTCCAAACCTAAACACACCCTAATTTCAAAAGCCACAGTCCCGAGGGCTCAATTCCTGTTTACTGAGGAATTAAAGTCTTGTTAAACCACAAGGTTACTGTATACATCTTAGTGACTTTTTATAAACGAGGAAACCCACACCCCACCAAAGACCTAAGCCCATAGTAATTTATTTAATAGTATTAAGTGGTATTGCATCAAGAGAGGAGGACTTGGTTACTGCAGAACTCTATGGTACAGTCATAGAGTTCTTACACATGGTTGTGTAAACTACCTTTATAAAACTAGCTTTATAAAAAGCTGTTTAAATGTATGTTAATAATCAACTATGTATTAAGATTTGGGCAATTTTAATAGGAGAGTCTTAATAGATAAAAACTACACGTAAAACACTTACTTTAACGTGCTTTTACAAACTCCATAATAGCAATGCTTTCAGATGGCTGCTGCCATTTGAGAGGGAGAATGGTAGGAAAAATTCAGTGGAGTAGTCAATTTGCTGTGTTGTCAGGCCACATTGGTTGTGATAAGAAGTGTACTTATTTGCAAATAGTAGCTAAAATATCACTGTCTGAAGCAAGATAAGCCTGTTCCTGCTTATGTCTTCACTAAATTGTGAAAATAAGTGTAGAAAAAATGAATTAAAAATTGTGTCAAAGGATTATCTTTGATCTATGGATTTGCCCTTTTAAAATCTTTTTACATCACAAAATGAAATGTGTACACTTTCTTAATTGGACTCCTGGTAAATTGTCCATCCTGTCTCTATCTTTAAAAAACTTAGGTCAATGCTTTCAAAAACCTCAAAATGCCATTTGCAAGAGCAAAAGGCACACAGAAGTCTGAAGTGCATGTTTCAAACCTTCTCCTCAATTATTTCTTGTGATTTTTTTTTTTTTTAAACTGGCAATTACAATGTGATATCATAATATTTTTCTGCAAAGACTGTAGATTGTACCTGACTTCTGACACATGACCCAGCTTCAAGGGAATATGATAGTTGCTATTAACCTGGGTATCTCTAGCTATCCTTGTTTCAGTTACTTTTGACAATATTCTTTAGACGAGTCACTCAATGCTTTTGAAATACATAACATTAACTTTGAAAATCAAATTGACCAAAAAAAAATCACCCTAAAATTAAAAAAAACCTACACACATTTAAAATGATCTAAACTCAGCGCTAAGGTCCTGTTGCAAGGAAAAAAAAATAACTAGGAAATTATTTATGTTGTGAAATGGAAAAATGGTCCTTATGAACTATGGTAAGACCAAATATAGGGTAAGTTCATATTCTGGCAAAAGTGGGAAAAGCATTCAACTAAAACAGTGTATTTTTTTGCAATAATTTCTATCAGATTTATGCTTTCTGATTTGAGACACAGTTAATATAAAATTCTGGTATATTATACTATTTTGTTCCGTTTATGATGCTATACAATAGGTAAAATTCAAGGAAATAAATAGCAATGGCATTCAAAGAGGTTCTAATGCAATCAGATTAATTACTTTTTTGAGAAGTATCTACTGAATGTGTTCTCTCTTGACACAAATACTAGAGGTTAATATAAAAGCCTTTCTTTTATTATCTATCTGCATGTTAGGGAATAGATAAACATTAACTGCAAAGCTAACTGTTAAAATTTCTGAGAAAAAATCTTTAGTAATATCTGTGCAGAAGGCATGTCAGCCTTATTCCTTTTCTATTGTAATTTAAAATACACATAAATCAGAATTCTGGATGCCAGAGCCAAAACCAGTGGCTTGAAATTCAGGTTTGATTCTGAACTTGCATGGACCTCTTGATTTTGGTGAGAAGTGTAAACCATGTCTCCTGAATTTTGCCCAGGCCTACCCATGACTGGATGATGATTAGCTTTTATTTCTTTTCCAGTTATTTATTTGCATATACAGTCTGAGAATAATGGCTTAAATAAGGAATGGTGAGACTGCCTAACCTTTGGCCGTGAGATTTGGTGGAGAAACATTAACAGCTTGAACATGCATATATGTAATAGATTGCTCCGATAAGCACTCTAATACTTCACTATGTGTAGAAGGCCAGAAGAGACAATACTCTTGCTATTTATTCTAAAGAATTTGCAAATAACCATATAGCTTTATGCTAAAATATTTTCTCCTCTCTAACTGTTACAAAAAAAATTCAAGTAATTTCCTTCCATTTTAACAGAAGAGGATATACTTTACAGATTGGACAGAAATAATAGAACTTAATTTGAAAACTTGGTACAAGAACTTGCTTACTTAAAAAAAAATTTACAATTTTCAAATGTAAATTGAATACATGAGGTTTTTGAGGTGTAAGCTGAATAAATAAAATAGCTCTTCCTTCAAAGTCATTGGCATACCTAGACCTCCGTGGCTCTGACAACGCAACCACTCCACAACTCCAACAATGCTACCACTCTTGTCATCCTTTTGATTTCTAAATTCTATAGATTTCATCCATTGACAAGAGACATTTTACTGATTTGAAAAGAGATGGAAGCTTCCTTTCTTTTAACTCTCCATTGGGTATGAATGTTCTAGATGAAGTGAAGAAATGTCCCATTTACACCTACTCCCTAACACAAAACCAAAAGCAAATCTTTCTCCTCAACTGCACCTGCAATACATTAAGTGGAAACTTCTGCAGTTAGTTGGATCTTTCCTAGTACATTTCCTCACCCCGTGTCTGGATGAGTACAAATAGATACAATTTTATGATCTTAGTATCTTGAAAGTTTCCTTCTCCTCAGGTTAGAGTTATGCAAGCAAAATTTACTACTGTAATTATATGTGTATGTCCTATGCCTGCCTTGACAGAAACTTTATGTAGAAAATTACCTTTGAAGGACGAATCCCCAAGTTTGTTTTTTCAGACTGAAGTGATAGTGGAGTAGAGAATTCAGTAAACTAGCTGTTACAGATGGGCCACTGCCAGTGTACTAAAATTAAAAACTGGTAAATTAGTTTCAGCCTTGTTAACTGAGAAAAGGATGATACAGCATAAACAGATAGATCAAGGAAGGATCAAGCAAGTCAAGTGATTGTTCTCCTCTTCTCAGCACTGATGAGACCACATCAAGGGTGCTGTGTCCAGTAACGGCCTCCCCAGTGCAACAGGCATGGACATACTGGAGCAGGTCTAGTGAAGAGCCATGATGATGAGAATGTATCATACAAGGAGAAGCTGAGAGAGCTCCAGAGAGAGCTCTCCAGAGGTCCCTTCAAACCTCCACTATTCTATTAATCTGTGATTAATACTACCACCATTATAATTTCTTAGTGTTGAGAACAAAATGTATTGCTGGGAGAAAAAAAAGAAAGAAGAAGACATTTGCAATATTTCCTAGAGTATTTCATAGATAAGATCAGAATAGTTTAGAGAAGATGGCCCTTGAAGAACATCCACAGAAATGCTGGCTAAATATTAGGATGTGTAGTATTCAAGACAGATGGGCTTGCAGTCATTTCCAGACTTGAAGTAATTGGAGAAACTCAGAAATGCTTTTGCTCTGAGTGACTCTTCAATCTCTTCATCTTTCTGTTTCTCTTCAGTATTTTCTCCCTTTTCACATGGGAAGATGTTCAACAACCTCAGAAGAACTGTCCAAACCTAACTTTCTGGTTTAAGATTGCTGATGGAACTGTGGCACTATGATTTGAGATAGTTCCATACCTCTTCTGGTAATCATGCTAAAGCATGCAAGAATGAATGCAAATGCAGCCTATCTTTTACTTTCACATTATTTAAGTAGTTAGAACATAATTTTCCACTTTTGTCTTCAAGTTCTGTGGTGGATTAAGTTAAAAAATATGTATAATGTTTTCTTAAAGGAATAAAGGTAGATATATAAAGGTACTTCTTTTTTTCACTCTTGCACAGATTCATGTTTTGAATCTATTTTGAAAACCACCATGGATATCAAAAGAAGGGTCAGTAGGAGGAATTTCCATTCCACTTGTATTCCTTTCCATGCCATTCCATTTTCCAGTACCGCAGTTGGAAAAAATAATTTCAGTGTAGCATGGAAAAGAGAAAGAAGTGAGGCTCTGTTTCTTTTGATTGGAGTATTGAAGAAAAGACCGCACAATGTGCTGCAGGGTTCTCCAAGAAACTAGGCAGTTTACATGTAATTGTTTTGGCTTATTAAGATAAAAATGAAAATCATTTTACTCCAGAGAGGTATGCAGTAGTTCTCATGTATTATGGTATGTATGATAGTTCCATTATAAATCAACTATTTTTTGTTGTTCCATAGTGTTTTCCAAATACCAAATAAATGTAAATTGCAGTAAACAATACAAACCTATTTTCATTTATTAAAAAAATATATTATTTAAATATATATTTGAAGATCACATTGCGTTCAAATGCAACCCAACAGATTTGGAAAAAGTAGTACAACTCAAAACGACAGTTCTTTGATCCAAAGACTTTATATACTGCCAAAGAAAAGGGATTGGGAATGAAGATTATTGTCTCAGTGCATGATTGAATGAATAAATCTTTTGCAGATTACTAGTAGTCAATAATATTATTTGGAAGATGTTCTGTTTTCCATCAGATGTATTTATACTTAAAATCACTCTATGGACCAAGTAGTTTTATCATAAACAGATGCTAGAAGGAAAAGAAAAATCTGTGAACATGATTTGTTACAAGAGCATCTTTATGTTGTTTGACTAGGTTTTTAATTAACACTTTTTAATTACTTTGTTTCCTTTATTCCAGAGAGCACAATCAGATGAATTAGAAAAAATAGAAAAGCATAGCAAGGCATCCAAGGAAAAAGAAAATGCCAAGTCTTTGGATAAGCCAGAACAGTAAGAACATACTTATGAAAGAACAGTTTTGCTTGCTTCAGAAATTTTCCCTGCTATAGTAAACTATCTAGAGATGTTATAAAAGAAAAAAAAAAAAATCTGTTCCTACTCACAGTGACTCATATAATTTTCTTTAATGATTCCTACAGGTTCCTCTATGAACTGTCACTAATTCCCAACTTTTCAGAACGTGTATTTTGCATCCTGTTCCAATCAACGTTTTCAGAAAGCATTTGTTCAATCCGTCGCAAACTTGAATTGTTACAGAAACTGTGTGAGGTAGGTTGTGCTCTGTGAAAAGATAGAGCTAAATTTCTGATATTTAATCTTGTTAAGTTGTACTCATATTTCAAAAGTTTTTGCTTTATTTACTTTAAGTACTCATTAAATCTGAAGCATAGCAGAATAGAACATTTTATGATTGTACTTCAACATCAAAGCAAATTTTAAGATTAGCTTTTGGTACTGAACTATAACATGTTTTTACCATCCGTGTATATCAGTCTCTTTAAAATAGTACACCTCCTCCTTTTGTTAAAGAAAAATCTTCCCTCTTCATAGTGACCATATCACCCCTTTTCAAATGAATGCCAGTTCAGTCCACTTTGTGTTTGCTTGGATTTTGGAAGTGTGCAACTCAATAATATCTCTGATACCTAAAATCAGCTAGAGATAGCAATGTTGTCTCTAGTTAGAAGAGATTACTGGAATTTTATGGTCCCATGCAAAACAAATACATGGCTTTAAAATGTAGGTTTCATCAGTATTTCATAGCAGAAAACTATCTGAAATATTTTATTTAATTTTTTTACCATTTAATAAACTGTTTTTAATTTGACTGCTTAATTGTTTTAATTGTTTTAATTGTTCTATGTGGGTTTGCTAAATTAAATATACCATTCACAACACCAGCATCAGTTAAGGAATTACTATATGTTTTTTCTCAACAGGTCAGCTCTGATAATATTGTATAGATTTCCTATTATTTTTTTTTCTGAGTATGCATTTTGCAGTAACATTCTCCATACGCAACAAATTGCGTATTGATATTATTCTATTTTTACATGTTGCAGTAGAAAGTTGTTAATTCCCTATATTTGAGCCTTTATATAAGTATTATTTCTAAACACAGTAACAACAAGTCTGCTTGTCAGTAATCCTGTTAACCTTAAATTTGATTGTGAACTTGAACAGAAAATTATTTCTCTTTCTGTTTTGTAGACATTGAAAAATGGGTCAGGAGTTATGCAGGTTCTGGGTTTGGTACTTGCTTTTGGAAATTACATGAATGGTGGAAACAGGACACGAGGACAGGCTGATGGGTTTGGACTAGATATCCTGCCAAAACTGAAAGATGTCAAGAGCAGTGTAAGTTGAATCTAGACTTCCTGTAGGCCTGAGAATGTTAAATTCTGAGAAAATTACTTTTGTCTCCATTTCTGAGTAAATGGTATGAAGGCATGTCAAAGGGAATTGTTTTGTTACTATACTTAGCTGATCACGCTTCTTGAGTTAAATGTATTTCTATAGGAATAGGAAAATGAACCATCTATTTTCATTACGGTACAAACACAATTACATAAAAATTTGTCTTAGTTCCTAATCTGATATGTGTTTGACTGTTGGTACACTGCATAGTTCTAACTTTTCCTGTATTCAGAAGCAATACTGTGATCCTTACACTTAAAAGGTTTTTCACAGAAGTGTGAACAGTTGTAACAGAAAAGTTAACTGTGACTCAATGCTAATTGAAAATATTTGCGGAAAAAACCCCCACCAAAACCCAGTCACTCCTGAAAATGATTGAATAGATATCCTGAGCATTTGGGATAATCCAAAATTCATCCTTTATATACATCATGATGACAGAGTGCATTTCATACTGGACCATGGAAACACCCAAATAAAAAGTAATCACAGCAAGTACTTGTTGATTTCAGATTTGTCTGGTATAGCCATCTGAGTAAGGGGAATGATAAGTAGTCTTGTTTCTTGCTCAGTGCTAAACTGGAACTTGTGTGTTACCAGCACTTTTTTGGCTTCTGTTATTCAGATTGGAGTTGTATTCAAATATCTGCTTTTTCTTTTTTTTTACAAGGCAACAATGATCTTTGAGTTTCTATGGCTATGATGAAAAGACTCATCTGAATGTGGGCAGTGGTATGAGGAATGTTATAGAAATAATTCTCAAGACTTTTAATTGGCCCTTACATCTGTCTAGTGAGTAGTTATCAAGATCTGCTACTATGAAAGTGGCAGAAAAAGAAGAGCTTTTTCTGTGCTTGGTCACTCACTAAATATACATGCTTTAGCTGCTGGGCTAGGTAATGTGAGCAGGCTGCTCTTTACCCTGTGTTGAGACTGTGTCAGCCGTTTGCCTTTAAAGAGGTGGAGGAACTTCATTCTGGCATGTTCGCTTCTTTGGTAAGACAGTGGAGTGATGATGTGAATGAAGCCTTAGTATGATGTGTTTACAGCAGCTTATTTTAGCTGAACCTTCTTATTGACTCTGTATACATCATCAGTTTTAGAACTTGATTTAGCAGAACGTTTAGGCACATTAAATTCGGTTTGGTGACTCAGACCTACAAAATTTGCTGGAAATATTATGACCATTAAACTTGCAATTGCAAGATACATCTTCAGTTTATTTGCTACTGATCAGTCAGAAAAGTTCTTACAACATAGTTTTCTGAAACTATCTGCAAATATAATTTTGTCAAAAATGCTGAAGCTTCACTGCAGAGATTACAGGAGGGAAACAATGTGAAAGTTCCCCCAAAGACCCCCAAAAGTGCCAAAATTTTGTTTAGAAAAATAACTTTGTTTTTTTTAAACCTTGCTTTCGTTAAATTTATAGATTAATAAAAAGATCTGAATGTTGCAAAACGAGTTGAATACATCAACACAGAAACAATTTCTCTTTTCCTTCCTGGGAAACTTCAAAATGTAAGGGTTCAGTTTACAATTAGGTAAATTTCAAAAGTCAGGAGTGGCTTACATGAATCTTGTAACATATCTTTCTATTATTTTCTTTAATGGTTAAATGGTATTTCTGGGTGTTGTGTTTGGCTTAGGTTTTTTTTCTTTTTTTAGTGAAGGCACTAAATCAGCAAAGTATTTTTTCTGTACTTGACACTAAATGTTTCATTTACTTAAATTACCATTTCTGAATTTGTTTTTTTTTTTCAGTGAACTTCAGTAACACAACAAAGTTTATTCTCTTCTATACAGGACAACAGCAGGAGTCTTCTATCTTACATTGTCTCATACTATTTGCGTAATTTTGATGAGGTGAGTGAGAATTAGTTTTGCTCTTTTAAATTCAAGTTAAAAAAATCAACTTAGTGAATTTGTTCTTCTGCTGGCTGAGATGAGGAAATGTGTATAAATATTTCTTGTGCTTTCAGTTATATATTTTAGTATATAAAAAAGCAATGAGGACTGTGTAACTGTTCATTTGTATTTTTGTCAGGATGCTGGAAAAGAACAATGCATCTTTCCTCTTCCAGACCCGCAAGATCTCTTCCAGGCTTCACAAATGAAGTTTGAAGACTTTCAGAAAGATCTTCGCAAAATGAAGAAAGATTTGCGAGGTACTGAACCTAGATTAAGTGCTAACTATATGTTACCAACATATCCCTGCTGCTATTTTTTGTATCATTTTGAGAAATTAGATGGTAGTATAAAAATAGTTGTGTTTTTTGACTCCTTAATTACTATTTTGTTTCCTTAATTTGCTTTTTCATGACCATTTAATTAATTCATAATTTTCTGTAGATAACTTGGAAGAGGTTATTAAAATAAACTGATTTCAACAAGTCTTTCACCATAAAAAGAATGGCAATGTGTTGGACTGTGTCCGTGACAAAAAAAACATTGATAATCAGGTCCAAATACTATCTAGCAGATAAAATAATATGTATGGCATGTTGTTAAAGACAGTGGAAACACTGTGACTTTACTAAAAAATAAAATGCAAAGGAAGTATTTTTTTTTCTCCTGCCTGTGGAATGATTTCTTTAAATGAACTCAACATGCTTAAAATAAGATGTATTTGCTAGACTTCATTAAAGAACATGTATCGCATATAATACCTTTCTTAATAACACTGGGAACTAAGCAGTAAGTTTAAGTTAAGCAAAAGTAGTTTGCAGAAATGATGGCTGATATCCATGATCTTCAGTATTTTTGCTAAATGTCTTTGCTAGACTACCCAGTTATGTACCATTATGCTAAATCTTGGAGAGAAGGATTCAAATCAAGGAGTGAAATGATGATTATATTTCTGTTGCCTTGCTGATTTTGAATGCCATGCATCTAGAAACCAAGGAATCGTTTGGTAAACCATTAGTCCCTGAATAACCTAGAATGGAAGGTTCCCTGTTAAAACAAAAACATGACACCAAATGATATCTGTCCTTCCCTTCTTGACCGTATTAATCTTGCTGTTTTGATGTTTTAGAATTCATTTTAAACATTTAGAGTTTGTATCAAGGTCACTTAGTGCAATACTGAGGAGCGAACTGCAGTACCATCTACTTGCTGCCCTGATGGAAAAAAAATCCCACAGTTCAGCCACATAAAATTTATTTTATTTAAAATTACTTCTTGCAACTTTCAGATAATCACAGAATCATAGAATCACAGAATGTTTTGGGTTGGAAGGGACCCCTAGAGGTCATCTAGTCCAAGCCCCCTGCAGTGAGCAGGGACACCGCTAACTAGATCAGGTTGCTCAGAGCCCCATCCAACCTGGCCTTGAATGTTTCCAGGCATGGGGCCTCCACTACCTCTCTGGGCAACCTGTTCCAGTGTTTCACCACCCTCATTGAAAAGAATTTCTTCCTTATATCTAGTCTAAACCTACCCTGGTTTAGTTTAAAACCATTACCCCTTGTCCTGTCACAGCTGGCCCTACTAAAAAGATTTTCCCCATCTTTCCTATAGGCCCCCTTTAGGTACTGAAAGGCCACAATCAGGTCTCCCCGCAGCCTTCTCTTCTCCAGGCTGAACAAGCCCAACTCCCTCAGCCTGTCCTCATAGGAGAGGTGCTCCAGCCCTTGGATCATTTTAGTAGCCCTCCTCTGGACCTGCTCCTTCTTGTGCTGAGGGCTCCAGAGCTGGACGCAGT